ATCCACAACATCGCTAATATCACCACAAGCGTTGACAAGGCGCTTTCCCGTCGCAATATTCCCCTCACTGGTGAGTTCGAGCTTTCCGAACTAGCGCTTTTTGATGAATTCATCTCTTCTACTTGAGGCAGTTGTGGCTCGTCCATTAGCTCTTGCTCGCTGCCATTCAAGTCGTGTCTCCTTGGTCGTGATCCGTCTCTAGTGAAATAATCCGTGATAATGTGCTTTGCCAGCGAGGGTTCATCATCGGTCACCATTATTGTCGTTCCAATACCGGTAGCTTGATCAGCCATGTGCATATACTTTTCAGAACTATGTGTCCAAAGTTGTCAACAACAACGTCAAGAAACTACCGGTACTTTTCCCAACTTGAAGTGTTCGTCCACACCATTTGATTTACGGGCTTGACATCAGTTAGAGTCCCGTTTTCGTGACTGGTGTAGCAACATGGAGACTCCGACCATTGCAGCACTGCAACGCACGTTCCGCTTCGTGTGTGGCTCTGCAAGTGGTAGGACAGTGCTTTCAGATGATCTTCAGACAGTCGCAGAGCCCAAAACAAAGCGGCAGCGTGTAGATGAGCATGCTGTTGTCGAAGTGCGGCTTGTCGAGTTCATTCGAAACCTGGACGAGGTCAACGAAGACCATGACAAACATTACGGTCTGTTTGTGTGGCCATCAGCGCTGCTGTTATCTCGGTTCATTGCTCACGATACAGAGAAACTTTGTCGCGACAAAGTCGTTCTGGAATTGGGTTGTGGCACTGGACTCCCGTCGATCCTCGCAGGATTGTGTGGAGCTGCGAAGATTTACCTGACAGATCGAGCCGATGCAGTTGACATCCAACGAAACGCTGAAGCAAACATCAAGTTGAACGGTCTCGAAGGTCGTGCTGCGTTTATCCCTCTCATGTGGGGCGATGTCCACATGTCGGACGAGATCATTTCCATCTTCCGAACGGTGGACATCGTCTTCGCTGCCGATTGCTTCTACCAATCTGAAGGTTTGTCCTTGTCCTGCGTCAAATGTCATGATCTGACATTATTGTGCTTGTAGATTTCGAGAAAGTGATTGCTACCGTCGCCCTCGTCTTCCGCTGCAGCACCTCAAACTCCTGCAAATTCTACTTCACGTATCAACTTCGTAGTATCAACCGATCGGTCGCTCCTCTGATGGCGCGTTGGGGTTTGACTGCCAAATCGATCAGCAAAAGTGACCTTTTGGACGGTGATCAAGAGGTTGACAGCATTTTCCTCTACGAAGTCACTCTGCACTAACAACATATGCCATGGCTCAGATTCGCCTTTTATCTCGTGTCTCTCAGAGTTCCTAAACTTTCAGTGTTTCTAGTGAACTGGAAATGTTTCTCCCAGGATCTAGAGACTGTGCGTAGCCTCTCGCAACAGCCTCTTCAGCCTTTCCATGGGAGATTTACTGTTGTTATTCCCTCCTGAAGCGGCTTCGCAAGTGCCAGTGGCACTTCCTGTTCACTCGCTACAATAAAAACCGCTTAAATCTAATAGGGATTTCCTCACGGAACTCGAGACTTTTTTACTTGTCATCATGGCCATACAACGAAATTCTAGAAATGGAGAGTTTCAAATCGGTAGATTCTTTTTGACGAATAAGAAGTCGTGACAGACCAATTTCAACCAATCACGCGTCGTGGCGTATGTGGCTATCGTTCACACTCGAATCTTCCAAGAAGCGCATCATGTTCGCCCGAGTCGCTCGCGTCGCCACGCTCACCGCCGCTCGCCGCTCGCCGTCAGTGGCTCTGCGTGCTCTGCAGACGCGCGAGAAGACGTCGTTCGCCTCCATCCTCAACGTGCGTGCAAAGTGCTGAAAACTGGTCTAAACCCATGCGTTAGAGCCTAATTCTCATCTAATCTGCTCTGTACTCCAGCGCGAGATTAAGGAGGAGAAGGCCAATTGCTTCGAGGAGCAGGAGCTGGAGGACCTGCGGACGCAAGTGGAGAAGGTGTTCCAGCTGCAGGAAGCCCCTGGATGCATGGAGATCCTGCTTAAGGGCTCGGTGGGCGACGACTCGATCCAGATCAAGTTCAACGCGCAGGACACTATGGAGCTCGAGGACGAGGCCGAGTACGACGACGTGGACGAGGAGCAGGACGAAGAGGTCTACGAGGACGACGAGGCCGAGGACGAGCTCCCGGGCGTGCGCTTCACGGCCGACGTGACGCGCGACAACAAGGGGCTGCAATTCGACTGCGTGGCGAGCAGCAACCTCACGGTGGAGCGCGTGCGCTACCTGCACGACTTCGCTAAGGACGCCGAGGACGAGACGCTGTACTTCGGGCCGAACTTCATCGACCTGGAGCTCGACGTGCAGGACAAGTTCTACAATTACCTGGCCGAACGCAAGATTGACGACGAGTTGGCCCAGTTCATCACGCAGTTCGCCGACCTCAAGGAACAGCGCGAGTACCTCGCTTTCCTCGAGGACACCGAGACCTTCATCAACAACTAAACATACTGCGTATTGTTGCAGGTTGCTTGGGGTCCGGACCGCATTCACTAATACACCAGCCTCACTCACCACTTGGTATTAGTCCCTGTACAGCTGTTGCTGCTTTTCTCTAACCTTGCATCCGGGACATCACGCTCTGCATGAGTTGCGACACCTTGGGATTCGACATGTGACGCATAGCGGCGGACGGGCCCTCGCTATCCACATCACGGAAAAAGTCCGCCATGTCCGGGTCTGAACGCGCTGCAATGAGCTCGGGACTGTTCATAATACCACTCATGTCGGGCATGCCACTTCCTGCGCCATCAGCACCCGCACCAGGAGCAGCACCGCCAAGCCCTCCCATGAGGTTGTTGAGCATGTCAGGGTTCTGCATCATATTCTGCGCCATCTGCATCATCTGTGGATTCTGCATCATGTTCTGAGCCATTTGCATCATCTGCGGGTTGTTCATGAGGTCAGCAAGGCCGCCGCCGCCACCACCACCCAGCATGCTAGCGAGGTTCGACAGATCCGGCATGCCTCCAGCAGGAGCCGAAGGCGTTGAGTTCGACGTCGTCTGCATCTCACGGCGCTTGCGTTCAGCATCCGCCAGTCCATCGCGACAAGCATCGTTCGAGCTGTCCACTTCGAGGCCACGTCGGAACGTGTCAATAGCACCGTCGAAGTCCTTGAGCTGCACCTGAGCACTGCCCATCCGAGAGTACGCTTTCACGTACGCAGGCTTCAGAGCGATCGACTGCTCGCAGTGGTCGATCACCTCCGTGTACTTACCCAAGTACATCAATGCTGCTGCCAAGTTCGAGTGGTAAATGTGAGACGAAGGTCCGTCTGTCGACAGCTTGAGCGCCTCGCGGTACAAGGTTGCAGCTCCGTCGTAGTCCTGACGACTCAGTGCAGCGTTGCCCTGCGCTTTCACCTCCTCGGCCTTGGCTTCCTTCTCCTCCTTGGACAGCTCCGGCTTCACATCTCCGAACTTCTCCTTGAATTTGGCCAGCGCCTTGTTCGTGCGTGTGGTGTATTCACTGGTGCCAGGCGCTGCGTCCTTGAAGAATCCCTTGCTCTCGAGTTTCGCCACCCACTTCTTCCACAGCTCCGGGTCTGCGTACACCATCAATCAGCCCACCAGATCTCCTACCTGGTACAGCATCTGCCACGTACGCTTCTGGACCACAGGATCCTCCTCCACCGCACACTTCTCCGCTGTGCCCGTCTCCAGGCTCAGCGCCTTCAGTCCAGCAGCGAAGATCTCGTCGAACGAGGCTTCTCCGTTGACTATCAGCTGCCGCTTCTGCTCTGCGTCGTGCACGTCCACGCCAAAAGCCTCGCTAGATAAAATAAAATAAAGTTAGGATAACAGCGATTTTTGTGGTTTGTACTGCGAATTGGAGCGCCAAACTCACGTGAGACGGGAGAGAGCAGCGTCAACATCTTGGGAATCCACGCCATCGCGCGTCTTGAGCGCGTCCACCCATGTCAGCGCATTGAACAGCGTCGCCTTGCTGGCCTCGTCCATTTCCACCACGTCGATCAAATTCTCCCTCTTTATCGAAGCCACAGCAAAATTCGTCGTTTGATTAGTTGAAATTAATGAGTTTATCTTACATCATTGGGCAAAATCCATAGCCAATCAAGTGTCGACGTATTGGACTAGTATGGCTACATTTGTGATGCGAAAACAGAGATCTTATAAATTTTGGGGAGTGTTTTATAACGTTCGAGGGGGTTATAATGTACCGAGAACTGATCAAGGCAGAAACTCTCAGCACGACATCTAATATAGAGATTCATTGCTGGGTCTAACATGTTGTCCTGGTTGTTGAACAAACAAGATGTTTTTTAGGCTTAGCTTTGGACACCGAGGATGCAATGAGTCTTGGTTCGAGTTTTTCATAATCTCAGAAATGCATTAGAGGATGTGGCCCACATGCAACCTTTTTAAAGGTCCACATCATGTGGCTTTAAAGGTTGTAGTTCGGACTATCAAACCGGTAACGCAATGATCTGGCCGTCAGTAAAAGATTCTCTTGGTTTTTCGGCAGAATATAGTAGTAAAAGCATCACCAGCTTGAGTTTCGATACTAGGTAAAGATATGAGCATCGATCATGTTGTAATTGTTAGTGATATAGACAACCCCATAGGCTGGGAAACCCACTTTTTATTCCTAGTTAGGGGTATTCCTAGCGCGGGGATGTAGCACGGGATGAGGCAGTGAGTGGTTCGTTTTTTTTGCTTTGTTCTCTTCGAGTCCCTAAGTCTTCTTTTCCGTAACACGTAGGTATTATGCACTTATACAATCACTTACACCCCGGAGAGTGTCCTCCTCGAGGGACGCAAGGCTTCTGGGGGACACTCCAGAGCCTACTATTGTAGTGGGCACCGGGTCCACGCCCCAGGAAACATGCACTTCACTCACGTCCCGGAGAGTATTCTCATCCGGGAACATGAGGCTTCTAGGGGACATTCTGGAGCCTACCGCTAAAGTAGGTTCTGGGTCCACGCCCCAGGGCTCTACCGGACCTCTTCGTCCAGGAGCTCGTCTCCAGACTGCATGGCGTGGAAACGCACGCGGGCTCGCTCTCCTTGATCGAACTCGTAGAGCAGTCTCCCGCAGTTGAGGCGTCTTTGGGGAATCCAGTCTGGAGCCTCGTAGCCTTTCCATTTCACAAGGTATTCTTTGACGCGCCGGCTAGTGCGGGTCCGGGTGACCCAGCCCACGTCGAGTATAGCTTCAACCTCGTACTCCCCGGAACCTTCATCAGGTTCCCAACTATCTTCACGGAGAAATGCAGCGTCGAAGTCATCGTCTTCGGGGATGTCTATGGTTCCCGAAGGCCGCTCCGGGTATTTCGCTCGGGGTTTCAGCCTGCTAACGTGGACCCAGGGGTGAAACCGGTATTCCGTACCCTCGACCTGGAGGCGGTATCGGAAGTCACTACCTTTTTCCCGGATCCGGAACGGGCCGTGCCAGAGATGCGCAAGCTTCTTGGTGAGTCAGGGACGAACTCGGGCTAGGTACAGCCATACTGAGTCCCCGACCTCGAAACCCTCTTTCAGTCGGTCTGTAAGCTGCTTCCACTTGCGGTTATGGTCCTCGGCCCGGCGCTTCTTGGCTTTTTCTTGGAGGTCCCGGGCCCAGGCCCTCGCGTATTCCACCTGGCGTTGCACCTTGGTGCGCCATTCCTGGGCGTCCCGGAGCTGCACGTCTCGGGGGACGTCTCCCATCATGGCTTCGACGGTACCTTGGGTGTCCCAACCGTTCACCAGGTAAAACGGCGTGTCGAGTCGGGTGACGTCGAAGGAGGTGTTCAGCGCCCACATGAGTTTTTCGGCTAGCTCATCCCAGTCGCTTTGGTCCACAGTCTGCACGTACGCCTTAACACTCCGGATCACTGTTTGCACCGACCGCTCTTGTTGTCCGTTGGCGTGGGGACGATAAGCTAGAGTGGCGCGTTGCCTGCTCCCGAGCATCTCCCGAAAGTGCTTGAACACCCGACCCATGAAGCGCGGGTCTCGGTCGTGACGGATCATCTCACTGGCCCCGAACCTCCGGAACACGCACTCTTCATAGGCTTCGGACACGTCTTGGGCTTCGGTGCTCGCCATGGTCTTGCACATGATGAACCCCGAGGACGCGCACTGGAACAGAAGAAATGCCGTATTTCCCCGGGCGAACCGGGGCAGCGGTATCACGAAGTCCATGGAGACGACCTGAAACGGTCGCGTGGCTAACAGGTTACCGGGCGACGGGCCCGGGTTCCGGGGTAGTCCCTTGGCCGTGACACAGTCAACGCATTCTTTGACGTATCGCTCGGTGTCTTTGAACAAGCCGATTCAGTAGAACTCCTTGCGCAGCCTCTCATAGGTCCGGATGATCCCCTGATGAGCGCCTTGGAAGTCCCCGTGACAGTGGTGCAGGATGTCCTCCTGGGGGTCCCGAGGGACTACCAGACGGAGGCGATCTACGGCGTCTCGGGGACGTTCCGGGGTGTTCCGACTCACATAGAACAGGGCGTCCCGGGAGTCTAACACAAACTGGTCTGCTATCTTGGCCAAATGTGTCGTTTGTTTCAGGGACAAGTGCTCAGTCTCGCCCCGGAGGAACTTACCAAAGGCGCCAGCCCCGGGTCGTGTGCCTGGTGAGAGCAAAACCTTCTCCATCGTTCCCTGCGGGTGTCTTCGGGGTCTTCTTCGGAGTCTTGGCCGTCTGGGCTCCGGGAATCGGCTGTCGGCTCGTCCTCCAGACCGTCGGGAGTCGTTGGTTCCGGAGTCGTTGGTTCCGGAGTCCGACTCATTGGTTCCGAGGTCATTGATTCCCGGAACCGACTTCTCTGTGGCCTTGACCTGTTTGGACTTCGAGCGCGTCCCCGCGAACACGTCGCCTTCTAAACCTCTTGGGGAGTGCTTGGGTATATTCCGAGCTGGGGCTAGGAACGCGCACTCCACCAGCGACTATTTCCGAGGGCTCGGGTCCTTCATCAGTTTTTCGTGGATCCGATTCAGGCCTTGGAGCAACTTGCGTTCCCCGGGGTCCGCGACTTCCAATGAGGACTGGTCCTGGATGACTCGCTTGGAGATGTAGTCGGCAGCAGCGTTGAAATCTCTTTTCACGTGCACTAGGCGTAAGGACTTGAACCTAGCTTGGAGCCCTTCAGCCTCCTGGAGTAACCTCAACAGGTGGGGCTGGGTACAACCAATGACGCCCTGGAGCTGCTGTATTGCGTGTCAGGAATCCCCGACCACAACTCGTTCCTGGACCCCCCCCCATGTCTAGAGCGAGTTGCATGCCCTTGACTAGTCCGGAGTATTCGGCCTCATTCACGGTAGCTTTCTCCAGAAAGTGTCCCATGACCGCGACGATTTCGGGAGGCCCACAGGATGCAAGCAGTCCCCCCCCCCCCCCCGACCCATCTCTCTTGGCGGCTCCGTTGAAGCTCAGCAGGTGCCCGACGTGGTCACTAGAGAGCATCTCCAGGCTGACTGGCGGTGTCTTGATCCGGGAGCCCTTTTCCGGAACCAGGGTCTCGGCGACCTCGTCGGAGCGTTCCCGGGGGTGATACCTGCCCCCAGGATCGCTGCGAAGCCATCTTCGCCGTTCTCAACTCGTCGAATGTCGAGGTCCCAGGGAGACAGATTGACC